ATGGTGCCTCGAACTCCACTGTCCACAATAGACACCTGGAGAGAAGAGAGCAGGGCACAGTCAGCAGGGCTGGGAAATGGGATGAATTGCTGGGGATAGGGGAAGGGGACTTAAGAGGTTAAAGGGGCTGAGGCTCAAAGAGACAAAGGACAAGGAATCAGAAAAAAGGATACTCAGTGGGGGAACTGGGGAGAGTACATGCCTATTTCACTTAGAAAATTAATTCCAAGCTTTGGAGAAAGATAGGAGATCGTGCTATATGGTGGCTTTGGGTTAGGGGATGTAAGTCAAGGTTTGGGATATGGGTCAAAGTCTACCTAGGTAAGGGGCAGGAGAGAAGGGACAGGGTGACAGGTCTTCAGGGCACCTATCTCTCAAATGAGGGGCCATGCTGTCCTGCACCTTTTTCCCAGCAACAGGACAGCCCTGATGAAAAATTAAAAGGCCCAGGTCATGCACCTAGTAAAGGAGCTCTTTGGGGCTTAATGATCTCACCCCTGAGCTCACTCCCTGCTCTGCCCACCCACTGCCTTCATCACCTCAAAATAATTGCTGTCCTTGGTCAGGGGTCGAGAAGCCACGTAGCAGCCAACTTCACCAGAGTTTCCATGGTAACTGAAGGAGGAATGAGGGGGGAGTTCTGTTAGCAGCCTAGCCTAAGAGTAGGGGGAGAGCCCCAGCATCTCCCACCCTTACCCTGCAAAGTAAGGTCACCTCACCCTACTCCTGTCGCAACCTCCAGCTGGAATCCAACCCATACCAGACCAGTGCAAACCTGGTTTCTTCGTTTCCAAGAGGAAAAGAATGTAGAGCCTCCCTTACTTGCCTATGAGAGGTCTCACAACCCTGTCTAACCTCAATCTCTCATGCTGCAGCTTCGGCCCTTTTCCTCTGGCTCTGTCCTCAGTGGAGCTGGAGAACGCTGGTCTCTATCCTCTGTACCAAAGCCCTTCACAGATTGGAAGACAGTGATTCAGTTCCCACTCCTCAGCTTTCTTGCCTCCAGCTAAACAGTACTACTTCCTTCCCCCTTCAGTGGAACTTTGTGAGAGCATGGGCTCAGAGGAGTCAGGGAAGGGGTTCAAGCCAGAAAAGAGGGAGGAAACACACACACAAACCAAGGGACTGGAAAGACACAGGAGGAGGTAGACAGGGTACACGACCGAACGGCCCTTCCCCAAACAGGAAATCCACTGCCTTTGAAACAGCCACTCTTCACTGGACCCAATCCCTGAGACAGAGGCAGGAGACTCAGGTACCCCACTGGAGTCTTCTCAAGAAAGCACCTGGGAAGCTCCTGAGACCCCAGCAGCCTCCTGTGTCTGACCCAGCTAGGACAGACCCTTGCTGGATTCCCTCCTTGCTGGATGAGGACAGAGCCACCCAGTGACAGAGGCAGAGGTGAGTGTAGGGATGGGCAACATGCACTGCTCCACTCAGAAAGGCCTCTGGGTGGGCAGATCACTTGAGGTCAGGAGTTCGAGATCTGCCTGGCCAACATGGTGAAACCCTGTCTCTACCAAAAATCTAAAAAAGTAGCTGTATATGGTGGTGCATACCTGTAATCCCAGCTACTTGGGAGGCTGAGGCAGGAGAATCGCTTGAACCCAGGAGGTAGAGGTTGCAGTGAGCTGAGATCACTCCACTGCACTCCAGCCTGGGCGACAGAGCGAGACTCTGTCTTAAAAAAAAAAAAGAAAAAGAAAGGCCTGTGGAGTCAAGAGCATCCCCACTTCCCAGTGCAGTGTACACAGTCCCCTTCTTCTGAACAAAACCCCTTTCATCTCTAAGATCTGCAACAGAAAAGAAAATGTGGAAGCATTCCCCTGAACTCACCTTAAAGTATCTCCATCTACAAGGATATGTTTGAACCTCTCCTGATATCGGAAAGCCCGGACCTCTCGAATCTCCCGGATCCTCCGGCGCCAATTCAGAAACCGGTAGTGCAGGTTGAGGTCATCCATCTTGTTCATGAGAACAAACCTGCCAAGGGGAGAAGGGGATTGAGGAGGAAGCAGGGCCCTAAGTAAAACACCTCAGCCTGTGTGACCCAGAATGTAGAGAAGGCACTGGCCTGGAGGCCAGCTGCCCAGATTAACCTTAACAATCCCTATCTTCATCCTTCCATTCAACAAACATTTACTGAGCTCCTACTATGCACACTCTTTTCAGTGCTAGGGATAGAGCTATGAACAAAATAGACAGGATTCCCATTCTCACAGGCTGGGAGGTAGACATGACAGGCAATAAACAGACATAATTTCAGGCATCGGAGAAAAGAACAGGGTGATATGATGAAGAATCTGGAGGGCCGGGCACAGTGGCTCATGCCTGTAATCCCAGCACTTTGGGAGGCCGAGGCGGGCGGATCACAAGGTCAAGAGATTGAGACCATCCTGGCCAACATGGTGAAACCCCATCTCTATGAGTAAAAAATAAAAATCTTAGCTGGGCGTGGTGGCACATGCCTGCTGTAGTCCCAGCTACTTGGGAGGCTGAGGCAGGAGAATCACTTGAACCCAGGAGGTGCAGGTTGCAGTGAGCCGAGATCTGACCACTGCACTCCAGCCTGGGAGACAGAGCAAGACTCCGTCTCAAAAAAAAGAAAAAAAAAAAAAAAAAAGAATCTGGAGGAGGCAGTGGACAGAGTGAGTCTCTCTGAGGAGGTGACATTTCAGTTGTAAAGGAACTAGGCATATGACAAGACAGGCATATTCCAGGCAGGAAGGACAACCGCAGGTCCTTGGGTGGAAGAGAGCTGGCATGGTAGAGAAACAGAAAAAAAGGCCCGGACAGCTGGTGTGTAGGGAATATGAGGGAGAATGTACACAATGAGAATAAGGCAGGAGTCAGATCAAGGCTATACTGACAGTGGTAAGGAATTTGGATTTTATTCCAAGATGGAAACCTCTGGAGAGTTGCAAGCAAGGAAATGCCATGACTGGCCAGATATGATGGCTCATACCTGCAATCCCAGCAACTTGGGGGGCTGAGGCAGGAGGATCACTTGAGGCCAGGACTTCGAGACCAGCCTGGGCAACATGGTGAGACCTTATCCCTACTAAAAATCAAAACAATGAGCCAGGAGTGGTGGTGTACATCTGTAGTCCTAGCTACTAAGGAGGCTGAGGATGGCTTGAGTCACAGTTTAAGGCTGCAGTGAGCTCTGATTGCACCATTGCACTCCAGCCTGGCTGACAGAGCAAGACCCTATCTCAAAAAAAATGCCATGAGCTTAATCAGTTCCTAAAGATCATTCCAGCTGCTGTCTGGAGAACTGATCACAAGAGGATCAAGAACAGATGTGGGCAAACAATTCGGAGGCTGTTGGCAGCAGTTCGGATGAGAAATGACATCCACTAAGATTAGGCAGCAGCGCAGATGGATGGAAGTGAGATGATGCAGGTATTTAAATAACCATCAGTGCCGACACATAAATGAATGGATTATTTTTCCTGGGAGCCAAAAGTGAGAAAGAGGTGAAACACTCTTACCTTCCCATTCCCCAAACCCTGGGACAGTGGTTTTCTCAAGGCCTCACATTGCCTTGCACACGGTGGGTGCTTAGGAAGCCTTGGCTCGGCTGAATTTGATCCCGGTGCGAAACATACGACTCTAATGCAGTAGCTACAACCCACCACGTGGCCCAGAAGAGTAGGCACCTGTGCAACAGACAGCCCTAAGATTCCACTCCAGGGCACTCAGCCAGGGTTCGACCCCAGGTACAAGCTGGTTGCCCAGACCCCACAGTCTTGGCACCGGCGAGTGGCGGCCCTACTGGGCCCTGTCTCCTCCCTGGGCACAGCCTGATCACTGAGATGAGACCCGGGAGCAGCGGGGCCCCAGCCTATCCATGTGCCTACGCCCAGTCTCCCCAGGCCCTGCACTGGGCCGAGGGTGCGCCGACGGAGGAAGCCTACTGACCAAGAGCGCAGGGCCCCGCCTCTGGCCTCGGAGCCCCCGCCCAGGACCCCCACCTCCCACGTCGGGCTCCGGGGAGATCCGAGGCCTCCGGGACCCCGCCCCTGATCCCCGCCTACCGGGGCCGCCGCGTCCTCCTCATCCATAGGCCTCTCAGCTCCGCACACAAGCTCTTTGGCCGCCGCCACCACACACATCCGGGTCCCCGCCTTTCCTTCGCCCCTCGAGGCCCGCCCCGCCCCCCCACCTAAGCCAATCAGCAACGGCCTCTGACAACGGGCAGCTGCAGGAGCCAATCGGAGGGCCCAGGCAGGGCGTGGGGCGCTGCCTGGTGCCCCGGGTACCTAGCGCGGGGCCGGGTCTGGTAAACCCTGCTGTCGATGGGGTGAGCGGAGTCGACGTGGCGGCGCGAACGCTGCTGGGTGACTGGGCGCCGCTGAGGCGGACTGGGGGCGGCTCCTGAGCGGCGCCAGGCGGGACTGGACGTGCGGAGGAGGTGGCCACGCTCGCACAAACGTTGCGAGTATTACTTGTGCCCTCGTTCCGTGCCAGACTTGGTGCCAAAAGCTCTACCAGAATGTCCATTTAATCCACCCTGCAGCCTTATGAAATAAATCTCATTATCTCCCTTTTACAGATGAGCCTGAGGCTGACCTCGATAGCTTGTGCGCTTAACTGTTACCGTGTGCTGTATACCCTCCCGAGCTCCGTTTCACGGCACCGCTCTCTCTTTAAGGCAAGAACGTTCCATTACAGGAGAGAACTTGGGTTGCGGAAGGCACAGTGGCACCAAGCGGCGTGCTGTGGAGGAACACAGGGGTTTTGGTAGACTGAAGGAAAGTTAGACTGGGGTCAGAATGCGAAGGGACGAAGACACTAACATTATTGAACACCTACTAAGCTGTGAACAAAATTCCCATTCTCACCTCTACTAAGGGGTGTCTACTGCCGTTCTGGGAGATTGGGCTCCTAGATCTCCTAGATAAGGACTTCCTTGCTCCTCTCTCATCGCCATATCTCTCTGTTCAGGACATAAAGATTCCCCTCCGGCCGGGCGTGGTGGCTCATGCCTGTAATCTAAGCACTTTGGAGGCCAAGGCGGGCGGATCACCTGAGGTCGGGAGTTCAAGACCAGCCTGACCAACATGGTGAAACCCCGTCTTTAAACAAAAAAGAAAGAAAGAAAGAAAGAAAGATTCCCCTCCTCTGTAGCACCTCATTTATTTATTTTCTTTTATTTATTTATTTTTTAAGCACTGTGGTTTGGAAGCACCTCATTTATAACACTTATTATTACCTCTTGCTTTTATTATTGGAGTCACTTGTGTATGTAGACCCGTCTCTGCTAGACTGTGAGCTCCTTCAGACCCCCGAGTCTTAGCACACTAAGGTACTCTAGAGTGTTGAGTGCAAGCAGAGCCATCATCTCACATACAGTAAATAGTGTTCACTCGGCATAATGGAAATGGGTGATGGGAATAGATGTAGATGGGAAACAGGGAAACCTGAATTAGAGCCCCTGTTCTATGTGACTAAAAGGTCAAGGTCTTGCTGTTCTCATCCCTAAACAAGAATGAGTGAAGTCTGTATTCTCTTAGCTCCCTTCCAGGCCCTGGGTGACTCAGTTCTGATTCGCTCTCTTCCAACTCGTCTCTGCCTCCTTCTGATTCCTCCATTGCTTCTCCTCTGCTCCTCCTCTTGTGTTATGAAAATACCTCAACCCTGAGCTCAGCTCTTCCCAAAGCCAGCAGAGAGAGACTATCTTAGGAGGCTGCCAGAGTCATGTTCATCCCAGACCAGGGCTCCTTCCAGAAACTAGCTTAGCTGGCTAGGGTCAGACATGGAGAGAAATGGCAGAAGAAAGTGTCTCCAAACTGTTACTGATGGTTGTGATTCCACTCGGGATTTCCCCATCTTTAAGTTCCAGGTGTGGGGCTGGCCGTTTTGGCAAATGCTGCATCCATTGGCAGGCCCAGGACCCAGTTGGTAATTTGTGCTTGGTGTCTACACGTATTTGAATAAACAACTTTATTGCCATATAACTGACATACAATAAACCATATATATTTAAGGTGTACAATTGATTCCTTTTTTTTTTTAATTAGAGACAAAGTCTCACTGTGTTACCCAGGCTAGTCTCAAACTCCTGAGCTCAAGCAATCCTCCCACCTCAGCCCCACAAAGTGCAAGGATTACAGATATGAGCCACTGCACTGGGCCAAGGTATACAATTTGATAAGCTATATAAACACCCATGAAAATGTCACCACATCCAAGATTGTGACCATATCATCATCATCCCTAAAAATTTCCTCATGCTCCTTTATAATCCCTTCCTCCCACTCTTTTTTTTTTTTTTTTTTTGAGACGGAGTTTCGCTCTTGTTACCCAGGCTGGAGTGCAATGGCGCGATCTCGGCTCACTGCAACCTCTGCCTCCCGGGTTCAGGCAATTCTCCTGCCTCAGCCTCCTGAGTAGCTGGGATTACAGGCACGCGCCACCATGCCCAGCTAATTTTTTGTATTTTTAGTAGAGACGGGGTTTCACCATGTTGACCAGGATGGTCTCGATCTCTTGACCTCGTGACCCACCCGCCTCGGCCTCCCAAAGTGCTGGGATTACAGGCGTGAGCCAACGCGCCCGGCCCTCCTACTCTTTTATCCCTAGGAACCACTAATCTGCTTTTTGAAACTTATTTATTTATTTATTTATTTATTTATTTAAGAAGGGGTTTCACCGTGTTGGTCAGGCTGGTCTTCAACTCCTGATCTCAGGTAATCTGCCCGTCTTGGCCTCCAAAGTGCTTGGATTACAGGCGTGAGCCACCACGCCCGGCCGAAACTTTTTTATTTTTTTGAGACAGAGTTTCTCTCTGTTGTCCAGGCTGGAATGCAATGGGACAATCTTGGCTCACTGCAACCTCCGACTCCTGGATTGAAGGGATTCTCCTGTCTCAGCCTCCTGAGTAGCTGGGATTACAGGCTCATGCCACAACTCCCAGCTAATTTTTATATTTTTAGTAGAGATGGGGTTTCACCATGTTGGCAAGGCTGGTCTCGAACTCCTGACCTCAGGTAATCTGCCTGCCTCACCTTCCCAATGTGCTAGAATTACAGGCATGAGCCACCACACCCAGCCCACTAATCTGCTTTTTGGTTACCAGCTTAGTTGGCATTTTCTAGAATTTTATATAAGTGAAATCATACAGTAAATGCTCTTTGGGGTGAGGTATATCTGGCTGCTTTTGTTCAGCATAATTACCTTAAGGGATTCATCCATGTTGTTCTTTGTATTAATAGTATTTATTTATTTATTTATTTAGGGGCAGGGTCTTGCTCTGTTGCTCAAGCTGGAGAGCGGTGGTGCGATCAAACTTACTGCAACCTCAAACTCCTGGCCTCCAGTGATCCTCCCACCTTGGCCTCTCGATCATCCCTTTTTACTGCTGAGTAGTATGCTATTGTTTGAATATATTACAGTGTATTTGTTCACTTGTTGATGGATATTTGGAGTTTTCCAGTTTTTGGGTATTACAAATAAAGCTACAGTGAATAATCATGTACAAGTCTTCATATGGACATATTTCATCTTCTTTCTTTTTTATTTTTATTTTTGAGACAGAGTCTAGCTCTGTTGCCAAGGCTGGAGTGCAGGGATGTGATCTCAGTTCACTGCAGCTTCTGCCTCCCGGGTTCAAGTGATTCTCTTACCTCAGCCTCCTGAGTAGCTGGTATTACAGGAACCCGCCACCATGCCCAGCTAATTTTTGTATTTTTAGTATAGACAGGGTTTCACTATGTTGGCTAGGCTGGTCTCGAACTCCTGACCTCATGATCTGCCCGTCTCGGCCTCCCAAAGTGCTGGGATTACAAGCATTAGCCACCATGCCTGGCCACCAGAAATCTTTTATCTATCAATCATTTTATTGATTCGTTTCTAACTTTTTTCCCTGTTTGTGCTGTTTATTTTTATTTTATTTTATTTTTTTTTGAGACGGAGCTTCGCTCTTGTTACCCAGGCTGGAGTGCAATGGCACGATCTCGGCTCACCGCAACCTCCGCCTCCCGGGTTCAAGCAATTCTCCTGCCTCAGCCTCCCGAGTAGCTGGGATTACA